ATTAATTGTGTTATATAATATACCGTATGCTGCGTCCATCATTGTAAAGTGCAACAGCTTGAGCGGCTTCTTCGGGAGTCATTACAGATTTTTTTAAATAAAAATAACTTTTAAAACAAACTTAGAAAAACCATAAAAGGCCAAAAACAAATAGGAATAAAAATTAATTTTAGAGCTTTTTTAAATAAGTAATGAATTGAAGAGCTCTTTCAAACAATTAAAATGTTAAAAATATAAAAAAATTTATAAAACAATGTCATCGTCGTATTTTAAAGCCTAAAAAACTTTAACATAATTTAATCTTATATTTTTTATGTGTGTATAGTTGTTACATCAATATACAGGGCGTTTAAGAAATTTTATTAAGGAAAAATCAAGTGTCCGTTTAATTTTGCGGTCGAGTGTACTTTACTTGTTGTCAACTAACTTTTGATTAATCATAAAATGCTCATGAATTAAAATATTTACGTAGTTCATCTGGGTGATCTTTGTATCACTCATACTTTAATTAAACAAAATATAGTTACGTAATCATACTTTAAATGTAATATTAAATTATTAATAGTAAACAATAGATACAATTGTAAAATAATCAATAAATTTAAGAATTATATCCCCAACAAATATTTTTTTTTGTAAATCTTCAGATTTACTTTTGTTGCATAACTTAGCCATTTTTATAATTTCCTCTTTTGTAAGAGCATTTGAACTTCTTTTTCTGCTTTACAGAATTTTTTGTAATTCCTTTCCTTTTGTGTTTCTAGCATCACGGGCCACTTTGAACACAATATCGGAAAATTAATCAATTTAAATATTGAAATTTTTATTTTTTTTATCATTTTTGCGGTTAAGTTCCACTTAGTTTTAACAAGGTATTCTTTATAATTATCTCCATTTATACATTTCATGATGTAGGCCCAATCAGGCAAAATATTTTCTATATCTTAAGTCAATGTTGACTGACGAGTAGTTAATTACATTACAAAATGACATAAACTGAAGCCAATTGAAGCTTTATTATTTAGAGTGTTATTCGAAATACCTTTCTCAATTTGTTCCTTAATTTTTTTAGCGATTCATTTTGAACTTTAGACTGTTTTGACAAATGGTATTAAGAAATAAAACCAAATACCCTGATAAAATATTGTCGTCAAATATTTTAGATAAGAATAAAACAGCCAGTTTGGTGTAGTCGAACTTATTTCAGCGGCTTAGCCACTTCAAACCGCAACAATTTGCAGAATTTAATGCAGGCGGCGAGGCCGCAGGTGCCTCCGGCTTAGGCCAGTTTGGTGTAGACTTTTAAGTCATAAGTTTTGACTCAAAATGCATTACAAAATATATTGATCATTTCGATTTTAAACTAATGGTAAAATAAGATTTTGGTTTTATTACCAAATATTTTTTTTATAGTTTGTGAAGAAGTTTGCCAAGAGGGAAATATATTTGATGATGGTATTAATACAATGTCAAGTTTAACTGCAAATGACATTAAAGAAATAGCTAAAATACCAGAACAAATGTTGTCAATTGAGGAAAGAGTAGATAGTTGGTGTAAAAAACTTTCTGAAATTCTTAAGGAAAGTGAACAGATAAGAAGAGAGAATGATTCATCTGGTAATTTAAGATTATAATTAATTTTAATTTGTTATATATATATATATATATAATTATTATTAACTTTTTATGTCTTTTATTTGTTTTTGTATACCTATTATAAAGTTTTATAGTATATTCATAATTATAAATGCTTTTATCTTAATTATAATCTGTTTTAATTTTAATGAATAAAAAGAGATCTAAAAGTGCTTTAAATTTTTAAACACGATATAAAGAAATAAGTATTGATTGCAGCACATTTAATTTTAAATTTATTAAATAAACATTAGTGTATTTTACCTTGGTCCCCAAGGACCTACTTATTTTATTCCTTAAATATTATTTCATTGTCAAACCCGCTGCACAACTGTTGTGCCACAACAGCCCGGTAACGATAACAGGGATAGTAACCTAAACGGTAAAGGAGCGAGAGACTCAGCAAACATTATCGATCAACAGTCTCTCCTAACTTAACTGTTCAGATTCCCATTACCGTTACCCTTACCGGGCTATTGTGCAGCAGGCCAAATAATAGTAATTTCATTTATCATCTTGTTTTTTGAGCATATCGATATAAACACTTGTTTAATCTTTATCAAAAAGAATATTACATCCTATTCTACAATATTTCTGGATATAAATTCTATACAAATTTATTTTATCTTTTTAAAGGGCCTCAAGATGAATTGGAATATTGGAAAAAAAGAGGAGCTCTATTTTCTCAGATGACAACTAATTTAAATTCAAAAGAAGTACAAATGACAATTTTATGTTTAATATTTAGTAGATCCAAAGTTTTAAAAAAATGGAGAGAAACTGATAAAAAAATTACTTTTTGTTACAATGAAGCCAAGGACAACGCTAAATTTATTCAAGCATTGGAAACTAAATGTCATGCATTATATTTGGATAACCCAGTAAGTTTGTAAAATATTGTAGAAAAAAAATATATCCATAAAATATCATTTAAAAGCAGGTTAATTCTAAAGAGTATACAGGGTAAGACCGTGTGCCTTAACGTTAAGACTGTAGTTATATTAGAAACTACTGGGCCCGCAAAAATAAATGTTTTTAAATATTACATTTTTATTTTTATGTTTAGAAGGAATTTAATGGCTTATTTGCCGATGCTCAAACATTATTTTTGGATTTTAAAATTGTTTTTAAATTCTTTTTAAGTACCTATGTTTATTAGAACAATAGTACAAAGGTTTTGATCAGTAGAAAAGATGTTACTATAGTACCTCTATATACCTCTATAGAGGTACTTATGGAGCATGCACAGTAGGCTCGTTTTGGTCGTATGCTGACGTCACATATGGTCATGCGCAGAAAAAACATGTCCGCCGAAAAAAAGTACATAATTACGCAAATTAATATTAATTTTTAATTATTGTGTAATACGCCAGTTTATTTATATACTTATTAAATTGCATGTATTTTAATCAATTTTCTGATTACCTATATACAAGGTGTACCAGAAAATAAAATAAAAAAGTTATATTTAAAATGTAGCTAGGTATTTTATTTACTATTTTAATTATTGTTATATTTACCTTTATACAGGGTGTGCCAGAAAATTTTTAGGCATTTAAAAAGACTGAAATAAAATAAAAAGTTATTTTTAAAATGGAGGGTAGGTATTTTATTTAAAGGATATTTAATAAAAACAAATAGGTACACATTCATATTTTTTTTATTCAATTATAAAATCTATTAAAAGATGATTTAAGCTTATATCCTATATTAGTATAAACAAAATAATTAAATTTATTTACACTAGATGATTATTATATTTGGGTGGATTTTCTATAAAGTTCGTAAACATTTATGTATAACTTCTACGAGGTCTTCTAAAATTGAATTAAATGTTTCGCTCAGACGTAGATCTGTATATTTTTCAACCAAATGTACGTGGAACGATCTTAGCCTGAGTAAATTTTCCAAAGTTAATTTTTGAAAAATGTCATATTTTCCTGACTCTTTGTTCGTAAACTTCACAAGCGTTTTATTGAACGGTAAAATTGTAATAAAATAATTTGAGACATCATATTCTTCTCTATTTGCCATTCAAAATATCTGGTATAATATGCATGAGCTCATTAAACTCAGTCTCTGTGAAAATAAATGCTTCATGTTCTTTATTCAACTTATATAACTTTACTGTGATTGCAAAATTACTGTAAGGGTTTACTCCTATGATGTAAAATCGACTACTGGATATGGTCAGCGGCATCCTTACTTCTTTAAGGAGGTTTCTCTGTTCGTAATCTTTGACTTGCAATGTAAGCTCTGGTATTGTAGAGGTGCTGTATTCACACATCTTATTTAAGTATCATTCTTATAGCAGACTGATTATTCTGAAATAAATAAAAATAGAGTTACATATAAAATAAAAAATTACATACGTATGGTAAAATGTACCAAAATAATTTAAAACTATTTAAAATGTACTTACTTGCCGTCATGTGTTAATACTAACATTCCAACAAAAAAAAACCTTGGGACCACCCCTAAGCTAATTTTAAATAGAGTAATCTTATCTGGTATAATTAAATTTTATGGCTATTTTCAAATTTTAAAACACGATTATTTTATTTTAAATGGGATTTTCTCTTATAGTTCAAAAATATTTAACATGTATAGACTAGTTCAAACAGATGTATGTGTGTGTGTGTGTTTCTGTGTACAAAGCAAGAAAAATAAAATAGTATACGGAATCTGTTAATATCTACATTCCCACGAAAACCTTAGAACCACCCCAAAGCTACTTTTACATGAGTAATATAATCTCGTCTAATTAAATTTTAATGGCTATTTTCAAATTTTAAAAACACGACTGTTTTATTATAAAATTAGATAAATAGTATACGAGTCAAGCTTAGATTTTTCTATTTTTAAAACTATCTTGGGTGGTTCTAAGGTTTTTGTGCGAAAATGTAGATATTAACAGATGTCATATAATACGACATCTGTTAATATCTACATTTTCCCACAAAAACCTTAGAACCACCCAAGATAGTTTTAAAAATAGAAAAATCTAAGCTTGTCTAATTAAAATTTAGGGCTAAAACGAAAACGCCTCTTAAATAATAAGACCACCCATATTATGTAACTTTTCAAACACACCCTTGACGTAACTATGTAATCTGATATAGGCCCAATTAAATTTTATGGCTAAAACGAAAACTTATGGAATGCGACTATAGGTCTTTGTCTGCATCATGTTTTTTAAAACTTCACACTAGAATTGCTGAAAATTTTAAGTATTATACCCCCACTATACTAGTGTAAGAGATTCCCTAGAGTGTAGACAATTCAGTTTATTTGTGTTCTGAAGCTTAAACGCTTCTGTATACCAAAATTAATAGTTTATTAAAATTAAAAAAGTGCAAGTAACAATGGGTTCCCAAGAATATAAAAATATTATTTTGGAAGAGGAGTACGACCGGGTAATTCGTAGGATGGTGTTCTCCTTTAGAACTTACACTGGAAGTCAGACTCCAATCGAGTTTATAGAGGTAAATATTCTTTTTAAATATTTGTTTAATCATTTATGTTACACATATCAGAGTGCGTTTACAAACATAGGTTACAATGTATTAAATTAAATCATTTCCTTTTTAATCGTAATATAAGCTAACTGATCCCTGGAATATCCTTTCTCCACTGTCTAAAAGCAAACCTAGGTACGTGGTGCTTTTCCACTTTAAATAACGAAGCGCTCGAATTTTATAAGAAAATCTATAAGGTAAGCTCACGCCACAACGACTAACGTTACAAAATCCCGAAACAACGTTACACGCTAAAGCATAGGCGAGACAATGATTGTCCTTATAGTTAACAACTACGATACCTCTCTTATTTTTGCAGAATTGCTCGTACGTGTCGCCCTTCAAAGCAGTCCTGATACGTCCCACCGGTAACTGAACCCGATCGATTGATAGAGTTGGTCGGTTGTTTGTGAAAAAACTAGCGTTGCTCTGTGGAACCTTGCCCAAAGTATCCAAAATAACTGAGGCAGTTATTTGACTCCTTTTTCTTAACTAATTGCCAAGGGGCGATCTGGAAACTTTGCGTTGGTGAACACAACTCCAACTCTATCGTCATCGTTGTCCCTCATGCCTTTATCTAGTAGCGAGTTTAAACCGTCCTAAAAATAAAAATATATTATTATTATAAAAAACATGAATTAAAAAAATATATATTAACCAAGTGTTTATTTAATTTGAACCCCCTGTATAAGTGTTATTATAAAACTATGACACTAAAATAGACACTTACCTCGGCAGCTCTTATTTGTCGACGCTAGGACGAGGTTCAAGGGCGCCAGTTGTGACAAACTCAACAGGGTAAGGGAGTTATTAACCAATACTTTATTATTAATAGACACTTTATTCTAACAATAAAATATATTCACCGTGCGAGCGTAGCTCCAAATAAAATTGTTATCCCACTGTGCAACCAGGAACAATGTACACCGTTTGTTATTGGAAATGACCAGCAAACCCACAAAACTTCCAATGGGTATTTTAAACACTGTGTTGGATTACAAATATTCAATCGCCAAAGCTGCAAGCATGTACAATGCCCAACTATCAAAACCAAATTCAATTATCCAATAAAAAAGGCCTATTTAATAAAATAAAGGGATTTGTAGGAAAATATGCTGTTATTATTTTGAAATAGAACTTACCCACAAGATTTGAACCTTTTTTAACAAAATTAATTAATCGATGATCTAAATAAAGTTAACTTTTAGCATTTAATTCACAAGATGTGTGCCAAGTCGAAATCTAATTATCAATGGCCGTCCAAAAAGTCACTAGCCCACAGCAAAAAACAATTTAAATTTGTCATTTTTCATCCCAGTGCAGTGGCAACACTGTGACATAAATTTAGCAACATTTATTGTTTAAACATTTGTTTAATACCAACTTAAAATTTTTTATAATTAAACCCCAGAATAAAGTGTCATAAAAGAAATCAACTAAAATTTACTATTAAACTTATAACCTAACTTGGTTCAAGAACATTAAAAATTAAATAGGATACATTAGCAGGTAAGTAATTAATATTTCTTTAATAAAACGCCACAACATTTCAAAACCAAGACTAGCTAAAATCCTGTTTGTTACAACATATATTGAAATAAAAATAAAACTCTATATATACAAAACAAATAATAATTTAAACAATAAGGAAAGGTGGAACACTCAGTATATGAAATATAATCTAAATTAACAAACTGAAGTAATATGAAACTTATATAATATTAAAATTAAATTAAATAAATAAAACAATATTGACACCAAAAGTAAATAAATAAAAAAACGGTAACCTTGAATATAAAAACTGAAGGTCACACTTTTAGTAAATATTAATAAGAAAATGCAATTAAATAAAGCAATGCTGTAAATGAAATGAAAAATTACGGGAAACAAATACTACGGCCTTTAGCAGATGTTTTAGCAAATCGTCAAACACGGGACGGGCTAGCGGTGGTCAGCCGATTCGCCTGCTTGGTATTGTCTACGGCAGAGCAGATACCGAGCGTTACGGGGCGCGGGTGGCTTACACACACTGGAAATATTTGTACTAATAATGATCAATTAGCATTATGATTACCTACGATAGTTCGGATTTACGGGGTAGGGCTGACGGGATCAAAAGAGCGGTCTCAACCCCGAAGGGAAGAGCAGAGAGCGTTTTATTGCTCGGTTTTGCCTTTTATATTATCACGGTTGCGCGGTGGTGGTAGTTTGGACTGAAAACGGCGCAGCTCCCCACTTGTTTGAGTAGGGTGAACGTGGGACTCACGACGGCGCATCTCCACTCGTTCGCATAATGATATTAAAATCTATATACAGGGTGTACAAACAATGGTATTTAAGGAAAATTTATGTAACTTCGTTACAAGCGTTAGGTATAGCATATCATAAAGACAGAGCCGAGTTTAAAAAACTTAAATTAAAACCTATTCTCTTAAAAGAGAATTATATAAGACTTTTGACGTGAATCTCTCAAATGGAGGGAGTCTTGAATATGTTAAACGTTTTCAAGATAATTTAGACGATTTTACGATTGTTATGTACAATAACAGAGGGGGGTCTGAAACATATTTTAATGGGCCTAGAAATGAAACGCGTAAAACAATAAATTTAATTTTAGAAAACAATCATTATAATCTTTAACGGCAGCGTTTTCCTCAACGTATATTTGCGAGTTATGTAAAAAACGTTTTAGTAATAAAGAAAAGCATGTTAAATGTCCCTATAGATGCAATAACTGTCATAGTACGCCTCCATGTACTTAAATGTCCTGGACTAAGGATAACCATAAATGCGGATGCAAATATTGTCCTACGTGTTTATGTGTGAAACCTGTTCGTCATAATTGTTATATGCAACCAAATCGCATAAGTGATAAAGTAAAAAAAAATCGCTTGAGAAACATTTTTTGTTTGTCTTTTATGACTTTGAGTGCAGGAAAAAGAATTATCCACTAATATATTTTTACATGAACCAAACTTATGTGTGGTACAGCAAGTTTGTTCGAATTGTATAACGGGTGATAACATAGATTTAGATTGTAATAAGTGTGGCAAACGAAAACATATTTTTTCAGAAGATACTGTCGAGTCACTTTTAAATTTTCTACACGAATTCGAAAAGAAAAAGTTTAATGTTTTTGCTCTGGCGCACAACATGAATAGTTACGATGGATGTTTTATAATGAAATATGTTTTTAAAAATGTAAACAGGTGGAACTCTACCATTATTAGAAATGGGTGTAAATTTGTTTCTATAACTTGCAATCCCTCTTTTTATATGCCCGATTCAATGACATCAGATGCTCGAAATAAATTTTTCGAATGGTATAATAAGCAAATATCGAATAAGGTTGTATTTAACTTTAAAAATTAATTAATTAAATACTGCATCTTAGATGTGGATATTTTACGGAAGTAGTGCATTAAATTTCGCGAGAGTTTTATTAAAGTTACAAATATTGATCCATTCCAAGAGGCCACAACAATAGCTAGTGTATGCAATAAGGTATTTAGGCGCAATTTTCTGCAGCCTGAAACCATAGAAATGACTTCTCCTAAGGGTTACAGAATGACAGACAATTGCTCTAAAATTGCTCTTAAGTGGTTATGTTGGAAAGAATCTTTATTTCCCGACATTATTCATACCGGTATCGGTCAAAAGATTAAACTTAAAGAAAATCTCACAGTTGATGGTTTTTGTGCTACAACAAATACAGTTTTCGAATTTGATGGCTACTACTTTCATGGATGTAAAAAATGTTATCCGCATCAAACAACATCTTTTCAAAATACGACAGACAAAAACGATTCAATGTTTACAAGACACGATAAAACTATAGCGAAACATCAAAGAATTAGAGACGCCGGGTATAATTTTGTAACGATTAGAGAGTGCGATTTTCAAGAGATATTGAGAAATGATGCGGAATTAAGAGATGCTGTAAATAATAATTTTAAATATTCACAGCTGCCATTGAATCCGAGAGACAGTTTTTTTGGTGGTCGTACAAATGCTATACAACTGTACCATAAAATATCAAATGACGATGAGAGCATTCTTTACTTTGATATCTGGAGTTTATACCCTTTTATAAATAAATATGAAAAATATCCCATTGATCATCCTAAAATTCATATCGGCAATGAAGCGTGCAGAAAATTACCTCTGGATACGGTGGAAGGTCTTATTAAATGTACTGTGTTGCCACCTAGATATTTGTATCGCCCTGTTATACCGTATAAATGTAACGGTAAATTGATGTTTCCCTTATGTAAAGCTTGTGTAAAATCATTGAACCAGGAACAATGTTTGCATACAGAAGAGGAACTTCAATTTACAGGTACATTCGTTGTCGATGAATTAAGGAAAGCGATTTTCTTAAATTATAAAATTTTGGAAATTTATGAGGTATGGGAATATAAAGTTAAGCAATTCGATAAAGAAACTAAGTCGGGAGGCCTATGTTGATACGTTTTTGAAAATAAAGCAGAAATGCAGCGACTGGCCTAAATGGTGCAATACAGATGAGGATAAAATCTCATATATTGTATCCTATTTAGAACGTGAAGGCATAAAATTAGATGAGTCCGAAATATGTCATAACGCGGGTTTGAGACTTATTGCCAAATTAATGCTAAATAGTTTCTGGGGTAAGTTCGGTCAGAAAGCAAATTTGATGCAAACCGCAGTAATCACTAAACCCTTTGAGCTATTTACCATGTTAACTGACCCTTCTGTTATTGTTAACAATATGGTGATTGTTAGTGATGAAATGCTTCTCATTTGTTGGAATAATCACGAAGACGCTATTTTACCATTAAACACCGTTAATGTTGCTATAGCAGCTTATACCACGGCTATGGCGCGATTGGAGCTTTACTCATATTTAGAAAAACTAGGTAAACGAGAACTTTACTTTGACACAGATACTGTTATATTCACGTATAAAAAAGGTGAATGGATACCCAAAGTAGGTGACTATTTGGGTATGTTAACAGTAGCTGAATACGGTCCTGGTAGTAAAATTACGGAGTTTGTTAGCGGAGAGCCTACAAATTACGCCTACAAGTTTATATTGCGAGTACAAAAGAATAAAAGACTATTTGCAAAGTAAAGGGTATAAGTCTTAATGCATTAAATAGTGAATCCGTTAACTTTAAACAATTAAAAGCCATGGTATGCGATAATGCGGAATCAATATATGTCCACAATACACGTAAAATCTGTATTACGGCCGACTATGATGTTATATCGTGACCCGAATCAAAGATATATAGGATAGTATATAGGATATATTGTTTACTTACATCTGTTAGTATTAATTATATTAGAATTTATCATTTATTTATATTTAAATTTTAATTTATTAATGATATGATGTATATGTTTACTTATCTAAGTTAGTAGAATGTATCACTTATTTATATTTTAATTTATTTTATATTAAGTATTTATTATTTATTATATATATTGTTAACATACCTTTGTTTTATTTATGTTTGAAAAAAAATAATAAAAAAAATATTTAAGATTTATGTTTTTTAATTTACGAAACATTTTTCTTACAGCTAAGTCATTGTTATATGTGTTGAATGAAAACATATCCAAAAAATTATTTAAGGTATATTTCTTACTTAAACACACTAAACATACAATACAATATTGACCGCAAACAGTAGAAAACAAGCTCTGGATTACATTTGGGTTGTATATCCACTTTTTGAGTTGGAATGGCTTACTTATATACCGAGGTATTTGATTTATAGAAACTCCTGTATGAACATGTATTGGTAAAAATCTACGTAAATATTTGATAACTTCAGATAAATACATTCCACAATTTTAACGTTTTTGCATTGAACGATCATACAGTTATGATTAAAATATTTTAGGTACAGGTAGGTATAATATAAGGCTAATTAATACATATGATATATCTACTATAACTACTGTAATCAACCACTACATTTCTATTCTTATCTATTTCAATAATATTATCGAATTCAGCATAAATAATACAATTAACTGTCTCTGTAAGTGCCTTTTTAAAACGTACTTCCATGCGTAGACTGCCTTTTCGAATAAGATTCCAATGAGTCATTGTGTTTGCGGAAAGATCTGGGGTCAAATCAAACGCGGTTAAGCAGAAACCGCGGGGGAAATTGAGTCTATCAATACATAATCCGTTCTTGGAAAAGTGGATACCAGTGCCAGAAAATAAAGTATTTTATGACCTTATATAATTATTATTTTCAAAATCGGGTTGAAGCGGTTTAGAAGGAATTTGCTGACCATCAATATACAGGGATAAAAACTTTATAACGTAGTGTTTAAAATTAAATGGATTTTTCGTATAATCACCGTTGAATGCTCTATTTGATACAAAACCCATAACACACCTTTTTGGTAATTGGCCCAGAAATAATTATCCAATAATTTTCCTTGAATGCCTGAAAGTATAGTTAAAACTTTAACGTCAACCCTTCACGGTGTGCCTGAACGAAGTTTAAGTCACATAAAAATGCCGCCAAAAACCTATTGCAGTTTCTTGTTCGGGACCCTTCGGTTACTTAAAAATAATATTTACCAAAATCCTAGCTGTTCCTTTTTTTGAAATTTTTTGAAAATTCATGATTTTTTTCTACCTTTGACAGATAACATAAAAATGATTTATTAACAAATTTAAAAAAAGCAGTTAGAATTTTGGTAAATATCGTTTTTAAATCTCCAAAGAGTGCGAATAAAAAAACTTCAACCAGTTTTTCGTTCAAAATTGAAAACTACTAAAAAGCCTAAATTAAACAACATTTTAAATATTCTCTAAGCGTTATTTTATTTCTTTTTATTAAAAATCTATTTTTTTATAAAAGGTTAATAAGAATACCATTTTGTAACCTGATAAACGTAGAAATATCTAAAAAAAAAAATGGGGATAAATCTTTTTTGCGTGTTACGCCAAAAAAATTACGCTTTTGCTTTATTAAAAACAGTATTAGAAAGTATTATCTAAGTCTCCCCAATAATATACTCTAATTTTATAAAAATCGGTGTACAAATGTGTACTCTGTCAAAGGTAGACTTTAAAATAAACAAAAATTAAAAAAAAACATGAATTTTCAAAAAAATTTGAAAAGAGGAGCAGCTAGGATTTTGGTAAATTTCATTTTTAAGTCACCAAAAGGTCTCGAATAAGAAACTGCAATCAATTTTTGGCGGCATTTTTATGTGACTTAAACTTCGTTCAGGCAGACCGTGCCTTGATATAGAGTAATTAACAGGTGCTAGTTGTAAGCCTTTAGCATGTGCTAGCAATACAGAAGGATTAATTTTCATTCTTCTTAATAAAAGGGTTGCATCTATGATTTAGTTTTGGTTCATCATTATCAGGAGCCATTAAAACAAAATTATCTCTTAATATAACTATTTTAACGCGTAATTATAGACCATTCATTAAAAACTTTTCTTGATTAAATAGGTCACCACTAAGACGTCCAATTAAATCTACGTTTTTTTCAGATGCTGTAAACTGGCACCTTTTTGTATGTCCTATATTACTAGCATTTATTTCATCCGTTGATTTAGGTGTATCTAAATACCATAGACTTGAAGTGAGATGAGAATCTGATGCGTCTGGACCGTAATTAAGTAATGTATGTAATGCATATGTGTTGTTCGGTGGAGAAAATTGACTAAACATTGAATGCAGGAGATTATTTACAGAACCAATCATTTTTTCACCCTCTGTGGCGTTTGTGTAATTTGAATTATCTTGTTTACATATTTTAGCTTCTATATGCAATATAGTATGGGATAAATCCAAATTTTCATCACCTATACCGGGTATAACAAATTCCAGAGGTGCTTGATCCGTTAAAGATAAAAGAGGTTTGTAATGAATCCATTGCCCAGCCTCTACACTAGTTTGCGTTGAAGGTATGGCGAATAAGTCCAGTTCACTTTTAATACACTCACAGGATTGATTATAATCAATCCATAATTATGGATGAAAGACATTGTTTATAATTTCTATTTAACGAAAAATATCTTCAAGTTTTCGTTTTTTAGTCTTGCGCTTGTTCTTACTTTCAGTACCGTAAACACGGGTGACTTTGCACCCCGCAGGTGACTTTAGTCCATTTAACATTTATAATTTGTTGGTCTAAACCTGTCAATTGTGCGATTCTATTGAGATTATATTACAGGAAAATCAGTGTTTTAAAAAAATAAATGGGATTTATTACACTTTAAAATTGTATATATTGGATTAGTGCGAAACTCTTAAAAATACATGCGTTTCAATTTCTATATTATGCGCAATTCTTTGGAATGATGATCCTTGGTTAACTACAGGTCGATTTTTTATTGTTTTTATCGGTAACCCCTTGCAATTGCTATATGTCGCTACTAACATATGTCTAATAAAAATAAAATAAAATATTGAGTTAATTTTATACGGAAAATACACTGTGAGACAAAGTAACCCGCAACCAGGGGGTAACTTTGCACACCCAGTTTTTAATTTTTATTTTTGAAACTCAGCCCTATTTAAGATTATGACATAGTTATTATGAAAGAGCAACTCAAATTTTGGTATACAATGTTTATGATTGTTAAAACTACAAAAATGTTAAGATTAAGTTTGAAAGTGAGCTAAAGCCACCCGTGTTTACGGTAACTAATACTGTATGATTTCTTTTATTCGATTTCTTTCCTTTTATACGTTTCCCCGGCCCCACCATTTCGTCGACTTTTTTCATGGCTTTAGTTTGTAAATTTTTTGTACCTTCATTAAACCGTTCTTTAAAAGCAGCTTTCGGTGGTTTACTCTGTATAATATCCTTAAGAAAATTAACACCTGTATAACCAGCCTCTGTTCCTATTGTTTTAATTCCACTTTTATCTAACTGCGCACCACTCAATGTGTCGCGACCAAAAAGTTTGTTCTTTTTCAAACGTTTCTTGAACGATTTAATTTTGGTTTGTGATGTCTGCTAGCCTCATCCTCTGGCAATTTATGCTATAGATATGAAGCTCACGGTTGGTCAAGTAAACTTCCTACAGGATGATATGTTAAACGGTAAAAAATTTCAATAACTTTATCCAAGCCCCGTTTGTAAAAAAATAGTTTTTTTCGTTTTTACTTTGAAATAATGAAGTATTATGTGTTACCTTGAAACATTTATCAAATTTTTCGAATTGGAATCTTAGCAACGAAAATATGATTTTTTTCCAAAAGAGTACATTTAAGGCTTTTTTTAGGCAATACACTCAGTCTTTTTAGGAACAAGAAGATAAGATGGGGATTGATTGTTCCTTAAATAATTCTGAACAAGCGACAAGCAACAAACTTCCATTATTTTCAGAGGGCCTAAGCTAAGACCCCTTTTTGAAAATGACATTTTTGTGAAAAATTGCAAAAACTAAACCTAAACCGATATTTACTTTCGTAAAATGTTTTCTTCATAATTTTGACCTTCTGATTGTGATTCAGTTGTCAAATTTAAGTTTCAGATAAAACCAAAATCACTACGAATCAAGATTCGAAAACAATTCCCGGTTGTCCGATTGCTGGTTTTTAATGTTTTTTTACATATCGTAAATGAGTATTTAAGGGACCACCATATTGAGAAAATGAATGGGCCACCTTTGTCTCCGGATATGAATCCTATTGAGCATGTATGGAGCAGGATAAAATTGAAGATGAAAGAGAGGGAAGGAGGCATGGAAAATTTGGATGAATTGGTAAATGCTATTCAGGAAGAATGGGGTATCCAAGAAATTTCTAAGGAACTTGGTCGAGGGAATGCCCAGGAGGGTTAACGAATTATTATGGCTTAGGGGAGGGCCAACGAAATATTGAAAGGTATTATTGTTATTGTTTGTTACATTTTTCTGTTGAATGTTGAAGTTTTGATTATGATTATATCTACGCATACAATTTTCAAAAATAAACAAAAATATTTTTATTTAACTTTATTATAAATTAGGTAGGTACTTATCAATGATGTTATCACTACTGCGCAATGTAAATGTAAGTTATGTAACATTATCCTAACCACTTAAACAAATTGCAGTAATTTCGCACAAAAAATGAATCCCCGAATGGCATTTTTA